CGAGCACAGCGAGCCCTACCACGCTGGCAGCATCCGGCAGATGCAGGTGTGTATGGTGTGATGGGGTCTGTGACCACATCCCACAGCACTGTGCTGAGCTGTGTTTGGCAGAGCAAGGGAGCTCCCTGCTTTCCAGCACCCTGTTGAGCATCGCTGGCATCCACTTGGCTTTGTTTTGGGTGCTGTGTGTGTGAACGGGAGCCGTAAGCCTGAGCTCCCGTCCCACCAGCCCCAGTGAAAGCGACTGCTCACCAGGGCCAGGGTTGGCTTCGCTGCGGGGATCGCTGGATCCTCCCAGCAATGTGAGCCCCCTTCCCCAGGAGCTTCAGTGGAGATGGAGACTTCCTCCACGTCAAACATCAGCGTGACACGTCCTCAGTGTCACCGCTGGTTTGACAAAGGAGAAGGCAGTGGGCTCCATTGAGGGAGCATTGGGCTCGTGGCCACATGTGTGCTTCCAGAAACACGGGGGACTGGGGGCATCCTCTGCTGCTGGAGCCTGCTGGGCTGCTTGAAGGATGAAAGCTGGGGAGCTCGATTAGCACACGGGCACTGTGGGTTTTTCCTCCTTTGCCCTAAACTGGATGATGGGAAAGATTAAGTAGCCAGAGAGTTTGGAGAGGTTTTTCCTTAAATTTACAAATGCTTCATGCCTGCTAAAATCAAATTAATTTTTTAGCGGGTCTTGGCTGTTTGCCAGGCTCTGTAGATCCCTAAAGAGCCTTATTTTGCTGCAGATAGACTAAATCCACTAATTGGGTTGCTCAGCCTGGAGTGCCACTTGCAGTGCTCACGCACACCGAGGAAGTTTTCCCTTCAGTTTGCCTGAAACAGCAAAAAACGAGTAAAGAGGGAAGCGACGCCGGGAGGTTTTGCTGCTCTGCTCCCCGTGCTGTGCTGGTGGGGCAGGAGCAATCGCTGAGGTTTAAACTGAGGCTGCAGGTTTTTGGTGTTTTGCCTTAGTGTTGGGGGCTGAGGGGGGCACACTGGCTCAGAGCTGCCCAGGGTGTTTGGTCTGTGGGCTCCAACCCCCGGCTCGGGGCAGAGACCTGCAGCTCTCAGCTTCGCTCCATGTCTGGGCCGCAGCCCAAGGCGGGAGGAGTTGATAGAAGAGAGGAAAAGGAAGGAGTTGTCCAGCCTGTGTGTGTTTGTGTGTGCAGCTCGCTCCAGGGCTCCTCTCTGGCTCGGGGCTGTGCACTGCTTTCGGGGAGATGCAGGGGGGGAGCCTTGCTTGGTGCCGGGTGCTGCGCATCCCCGCCTGCCCCAGTTCATTTGTGTTTCTCTCTCCCCATGCCCACCCTCACATCCCCCTGGGCGGCTCAGACAGCGATGGCCAAGGTCCTGCACAGCGAGGAGCGGCGCAGGATCAAGGCCTCGCCGTTCGTGGGG